ACCCTATTCTTATATTAGGCACTCATATCTTCATATTTGTTAATTACACCCTCAAACTCGTTAAATTGTCTTGACTAACCCCTCTTATTTGTAATTCAAATTTACTAACCCCTCTTATCTGTAATTCGATCACACCTCCAAGCCCACTAGCTTTAAATAACAGTCCCAAATTTTACTTTACACCTCTAAAACCCATTAAAATTGTTTGCGATAGCGCTCCGACTTGGACAAATATGAAGATTTTAGAATCCAATATGAAAATAGAATAAAAATTAGCGTTTAATATATAAACAGATCGAATAAAAAAAGAGGGGGATAGAAAAAAAATTGGAATCGGAGCAAATCAATTAATTCAACATAAATCCCGCCACCTCCCTCGCCCTCCCCATCCATCGTCTCCGCCGACCGCACCCCGACCCCACACACCGCCGTGTTTCCGCGCCAGAACCCTGTACTATCCCTCCTCGTGAAGTTCGCTACATTCAAACCCCAAGCTTGCCGCCAAAACCCGCTGGACGTAGTTCGCCACGTCCGTAGGGGCTCTTGCGGCGGAGCAGTCGCCTCCACCGGCAGCTGGTTCAGGAACGTCACCTCGTAGACGGGTCTCGGGTTCATGAAGAAGTATATCGGGTCCATCGCCTTCCACCCTCGGCGGTCGTCGCGTGAACAGCCCGACCCGATAGTTCATCGCCCACGGGGACTATCCTGTCGGTGAGCTCGGCGAAGAGGGCGGAGAAGCCGCAGCAAGAAGGGCTCTCGCACGTGGTGCCTTCGGGGCACACCAACGAGGTCGCCGTTGGCCAGCTCGACTTCTAGCGGCGGCGTCCGGCTGCGGCGGTCTCGCGCTGAGGCGGACGGTGGGGATCGGGGAAGGATCTCGGAGAGCGGGAGATGAGTAGGTGACGGCGGGGATGCTTGCGCCGAGCCAAATGGAGAGGACGACGGGGTCCATGAGGTGCGGTGGTGCACACGAAGAGGATGGCCGGCGCAGCGCTCTCGCCGGTGGGAGGCGGGGGCGCGGCCCGCGGACGATGACGCGCCGCCGAAGATGCCGACCATGTAGGGATGAAGCGCATCGGGAGGAGGAGGCCGAGGAGAAGATGCGGACGACGCGAGGAGGATGCCGATGGGAGGTAGAGGAGGATAGGAGGGAGGTGGAGGGTCGGTCGGCGGCGAGGCGACCACGTCGTGGAAGAATGACGGGGATCGGGCGGCGCGAACGCCGGGGGCGCCAACGAGCTTTCGGTGGTCGGTGAAGGGACGAGTGTGGTGTTCCTGTTCAGAATTTTTTTTTACAGTGCAACTTTTACTCTCACGAGACCATGGAAATTTATCACACTACACAGCACGTTATGACGGAAAATTTTACCCTTTTAAATTTCGTGCCATTCAAATCCTTATTAATATATATATATTTTTTAAAATCATTGAGTTTGTTAGCATAGAGATACCAATTAATAATTAAGGACGGTCATCTATCCGTTTGCTCATATAGTTAACTATGGTAGTTAGCGAAATTCAATCAATAGTTTAATTACCAAAGTAATTAAACAGTATGAAATATGGAATATTGTCATTACACACTCTTGGGTTTTCAGGAAAATTCTCAAGCTCAGGCCATTTGCTATGTCCGTGGTTGATATTATATGTGATGACACCATTTGGAGAGGCTCCTCGATCGTCTGCGTTCAGTTCTACAGCTGCATATATTTCTATGCAAAATCCAAGCCCCAAAGTTGAATGCATGGAGGAAACTTGTTTAATTTGGAGCGGACTGAACTTTAACTTACCCAGACGCTCTTTCATAATGTGGCTAGTTTGTCATGGTAAACTTCTAACTAGTGAACGAGTTTTGCTACAGGGATCTAAAATATGGGACCAAAAGGGGGACATGTGAAGTGCCCCCCTCCTATTGCATAATGAGCTGGTCATCATTAATGATGGCCAACTCATTATGTAATAGGAGGGGGATACCTCATCTGTCCCCCATGTTGGTTACATATTTTGGGTCCTTGGGGAATTTTTCCTAGGGAACATTTGAGGAGGGGAGGAGTACTAATTGATACTATCTGCCCTTTGTGTAAAAAGTAGGAGGATACAGCAAACCATTTATTCTTTACTTGTGGCTGGCAATTACTAGATTCATTCATGGAGATGGTGTTCCTAATGCCTTTGCCAATATTATTCCTTGGGCTCTTACAAGTTTTTTTTTTTATTTGGTTTTTTTTTTTGGGGTGTTGCGTGTAAAGGAAATATTAATTGCAAAATTAAAAGAGCAACTCTTGCTGCAAGTATCTACTATATATGCCAAAAGAATGAACTGCACACCTACCGCACGTTATCACACGTGCAAGAGAAAACATGCATTAGACCGTGTTTACCACAGGCGGCTTAGGGCGCGTTTGGATGCTTGTTTTTGAGAGGGTTTTGGGGGGTGAAAACCTGCCATTTTGTCAGAAAATGACAGGTTTTAACCCAAAAATGTCTCTAGAGGCGTTTTTGGATGAAAATCTGCCATTTTCTGACAAAATAGCAGGTTTTCATCCCAAAAAAAGAACATCCACATGAGCCCTTAATGCTAGTACGTACCAAATGAGGAAACCAGATGGATATTGATCGCCTCACCTTGCACAAATCCAACCCGGACCACCCTCTCCCCAGTCCCGCCACCGGCCGATCACCGTTCAGCATCACCGGTGCCGTTGACATCTTAATGAATCCGGTTGCGACGCCGGACTTATTCACCACGAGCTCGCCTCCGACCACCTCGTCCGCCCGCAGATGATCCTTCACGAACCTCTCCACCATCACCCTCGGACACTTGCTCATCACAACCCTCTTGTCATAGCCACTGTATACCGCCCAAGCCTCCATATCAACATCATCCATGTAAAATTTCGGCAGCACCGCCCTCGAGACCGCCTCGATCTCCGACTCTCTGACGCCGGCCACGGATATAAATATCATCATCCGGAGCCCGAGGTCAGATAAGTCGAAAAACTCCAGAAATTTTACAACCGGCCAGGACAGTAGAAGCAGAGCGAATCTGATCAGGCCCGAGGCCTCGAAGGCGACTAGCATGAAGTAAGGGAACGGGTCGGAGCTTTTTAGCAGGCCACCTTCTAACTCCGCGACGACGACTGAGCCCGAGCCCATTTCCGACGACGTTCAGATGCAACAGTGGTGAGAAAAATAGCAAAGAACATAAGCTGGAGAGTACGAATGAGGATTGATATTTCGACTTGTTTTCTTTAAAATTTTGTTTTGTTTTTGTTTGAGTGTTGAGGGAGGCGGTTTAACAACTCGATCGATCGGCAAGCTGAGGACCTGACCTAACCGAGACACAATATTCCGTGCTGGGAATTGATTTGGTCTTTGGAGGGCGGCCTAATCGTTGACTAGAGGGTGTATTGAGAGTTGGGAGTAGCTTGAGGATAAGGGTTACCTAACTTTACGGGTGAGCTACATCTTTTCTCTTTGATCTTAATGATGCAAAGTTTTAATTAAATTAAGAAGTTCATTGAGTGGGCAACAACAAGTACGTACTCGTGAGGTCTAGGCCGGGCTTTATAGGTTGATGAGGGAGTATAGCTAGTTCCACCGCTAAAAGTCAAGAGCATAGAACTTATCATACATGCGCCTTCTGAAAAAGTTGTTTTGATACCATCTGAAAGTCTCTATCACTATGTCAAATCTTAGAAATCGTGTTGATGGTTGAGGGTTATAATTATACAAGTGAACGCTTTTTTACGTGTTTTTTTCCAGGCTTCTTAAACAATAGAATGTGTATCCTAAAATGTGAGGAGCGTAGGCAAATAATGAAAAGAGCTATCAAGGATGAACCAAGAAAGGAACTGTTGTTAATTTGGTTGATGGAATAAAATGAGCTTTTTAGGTTGGGAATTAGATGATAAATACTGATTACTACTTTGCCGATAACAAATAAGGTTGAAAGAGAGAGAGAGAGAGAGAGAGAGAGAGAGAGAGAGAGAGAGAGAGAGAGAGAAGCGGGGCATGAGGGTTAGCTGAATTTTTAAGTTTAAAATTCATTTTGTATTTTAGTAATTGAATTTCACCCCAAACAATTTTACAAAACACGGTGGGCTGGAGTCCATTGAAATAGGCCAAACCAAGTCCTTGGTCAGTTAACTCAAAGCCCATGACATTTAGCCCATTTCTATTTTGTTTGGGCTATTTAAATCTTTCTTTTTGTGGGCTTGGTATGAAACTTGGCATACGAAGGAAATTCAGTCTCGCGGAAACTTTTGTTTTCTTTACCAGACAGTCACAACTGCAGCCTTTGGACTTCCAACAAAACATGAACCTTAACTTTTGTTGACTAGACCCCCATTGAACCACTACCAACCTTGACATTACATTTTTCTACTATCATCACTGTGTACATAGCATCCATCCAATCACTTCCCCCCATTACCTATAATTTTTGAGCCACTTTTTTATTCATCAACCCAATTTATTAGTGCCTCCAATATTCTCCTTTTCCCCCCTTGATAAAATCAACTAAAGGTCCACACACAAAGTTTCACATAATTAAAAGAACATTATAATGGCCTCATTTGTCCATTCACTATATTAGTATAAGGCTTGCAACGTTGCTGTAGGTATTATTTACCTAGTTATATCTATCACAAATTTGATAATATGATTTTTGTATATAAGTAAGCTTCAGCGACAAGTTTGTTCACTACTATTTATAGAGTGAATCTTCGTAATAATAAAAAAATAATATACCAACTAGTAAGTTTTATTAATTTTTTATAATAAAGCTGGGGAAAATTTATATTATGAACTACCTAATAAATGCTAAAATCATCATCATCTATAAGAAGGTGGGGAATGTAGATACCTGTAGGCTGTCTAAAAATCACAATAGATAGCTTATCCCCCATCAAACACCGATGATGGAAGTTACAATCTGACGACTTCCAGAAGACTACAATTTGAAGACTTTCACATAGATCGCTGAAGGTTACAATCTGACGACCTTCACGACAACCGATGAGAGCTCTAGTTCAACAACATTCACAATCAACATCGGGAGTTACAATCTGACGACTCTCATATTCTCAAGGAGCCAAGACGAAGATTACAAGACAATGATCTTTGCAACGCTATGACAAAAGAGATTACTTGTTGATAATCTCTCCAAAGCAAGACGCGGAACTCATCACCGGAACCCGCGTTTCAACATCAAAACGCCAGGGTCGAACCCCGCGTCTCAACATCAAAACGCCAGGGTCGAACCCCGCGTCAAACATCAAAACGCCAGGGTCGAACACCGCGTCACAACATCAAAACGCCAGGGTCGAACCCCGCGTCACAACATCAAAACGCCAGGGTCGAACCCGCGTTACAACATCAAAACGCTGGAGTCGGACCCGCGTTACAACAGGCGAAACGTGAGCGACCCTCGCGTTCGTAGGGGTCCAACCAACACCGACCCCCGCGTTTCCAAGCTACAACAAGCCAAAACGCGAGCGACCCTCGCGTTCATCAATGTTCAGCCAACACCCAACCTCGCGTCTCAATCCTAAGACACGAGGTTAGAGTCCTAAACGCCAGGTTGGGCGTTTGACTCATTCAAATATGAGTCGAACGGTTTCAGAACCGTTTTCCCCACGATTTGGGGCAGTTACAACCCACTTTGAGGAGAGATTTAAGGGGCGGTTTCACCCTTAATCCTCTATAAATAAACTGAAGATCAAGTTCAGTTCTGGGGCCCATTTTTCGGGTTGGATTATCTGGGCTTGGATCGGCCACTGGAGCACGAAGAAGTTTTTTGAGGAGATCGCATCATCTTCAACGAAGATCATCTTCAACTTCAGCCAACAGCTTTTATCCTTGGCCTATTAACTCGATCCTTCGGTTCCGAAATCAAACTTGCTTTTTCAAGCAGTTCAAACTCGCACTCAGAGTTATGCAACTTCATCAAGAGTTTTAAAACTTGCCACCAAGTTCATCCAGCACGTCCAATCGTGAGGAAGACATTGTTGCCATGTGAATAAACGACGTGCGAGGCGGATCGTCAACGTGAGAGCAAACTCGGATGCAAGTATTCGAGGGAGGCACTCCATCGCATCGGAAGAACCAGTTTTAAACAAGGGGACAACCAAATTCGTTTGTCCTCTCTCTTGTAATCAATGTGTAATCGAAGATCAAAGGAATCAAAGTAAATTTTTTTATTCTTTTCATTGACCAATTTTCCCACAAACAAAAGATGGCGACTCTGCTGGGGATAAGCTTCTCTGACGAAGAAGTGGTGGCGCAATCCGACGTTCATCTCACTGGAACAACCGTCGAAACTCTCATGGTTGAGTTTGATCAAGCCAAGTTTGAGGAGGCTCTCTCATCCGGATCTCTTAGCCCCAAGGCTATGCGCAAGATCCACAAAGTCTCCAAGGAGACTAAAGCTCCAATTGTTGCTCCTATGCCGAAGGAAGCCTTCTCCTTCAACCAAGAATGCTCGAACAGCCCCTCCTCCGAAGGAGTGGGCTCAGCTTCGGCCAAACTCGTCCACCGAGTTGAAGGCTCTGCGTTCATGCCAAAGCGACGTTTCTCGGGTCACGAAAGGCCCATAACAGCGACCAACTCTGTCGACGACATCGCTGCAGAGACCTTAAAACAGGCCAACAAGAACGCCGCTCGACGAAGAAGAAGATCTCGACGACAAGTACAACTTCGAGAAAATCGATCCTCCAACCAACGCGAGATTCGCGTTCGTGAGCCTGAACGCGACCCTGAACTTCGCGTTTATGAGCCCAAACATGAGCTTCGCGAGAACCAGACTGAACGTGGCCCTCAATGGTGCGTTTTACAACCAAAATGTGGACCTCAAGCCTTCGTTGAACGCGAACTTCAACTTCGCGTTTTTTAGTCAAAATACGACCCTCGCGTCAACACTGAAGAACGCGACATTCGCGTTACCAAACCAAAACGCGACCTTTGTGTTTCAAGCGCCAAACGCGATCTTCGTACCAAACGCGACCTTCGCGTCTCCCCCTGGACCCCCGACTCGCTGACCGGGCAGCGAGACCCCCGAATTCTCTGCGTAGCGCGACTAGGTTGAGGGGCGGATATAAGAAGTTTATGGATTCAAGGCATCTCAACCAGATCCATATTCACCAAGAGCCAGTCCTGTCCAATCATGGACTGGGGGTTCCAGTTCAAACCTCACAATCAGTGAGTAATTCTCCTCGAATCTTTATAACAGATTCGAGAGAGTTCACATCGAGAGAAAGATCGATGCAACAAGTCATTCGTTCATTTCAATGTGAACGACTGATTCCTACGGTCCTCTCGGGACGCCAATGCTGCTCATATGCGGCCCAACTGCTGGTGTTCAACCAATTTACGAACGTTGCTTTACCCAACCAACGACGGCGTTCACACAAGAAGAAGACTTCTGAGGATGAATACCTTAGAGTCACTTCTAACATGATCGGCAGAGGGAGATCATCAGTTCCTAGTTCCGATGAGTCAGAGAACGATCAGTCTCCTGGCTTGAAAGACTTCCTGAATAAGTCTGATGGAGTTTATCAACATACTCGGACGCGAACAGGAGCCATTCCCCCTGTCAACTATCGGAGTTTAGCCAGGGGAACCAATTCCAATGATGAACACTCAGCCATTGCAGAGTCCCAGTCATCAAGCTCTTTTGTTGAACATGAGAGCTACGCTTATATGACGGGAAACCATGAAGATCTCGCGAAGAGACTTGATGAGCAGGAGGCCATGCTCAAATCTCAGCAAGAGGCCATCAATGAACTCCTGGCCCTGTTGACTCAACTCGTCGCAGACAAGGCCAAATCTCAGAAGACAGATTCGCCACTCAGGCAAGAATCTTCCCGAAGGGAAAGAACGTCTTCGTCCCGACCTCACACAAGCAAAGGGAAGGGAAAAATGGTTGATGACACGGCTTCTGACCAAGAAGCCCACAACCTGGAATCTTCCTCTGATGAAGGAAGAGAGACGGAGTATGAGCAAAATCCTCAGTCGGCTAAAATCGAGGAATTGGAAGCCCGCCTCAATGCTATTGCTAACAGAAGCGAGCTCCAAGATGAGGGAGTTGTCAGGCCCTACCCTGCCGAATGGGACGCAGCCCCTTATCCTCCAAAATTCGAAGTCCCGACGCTGCAAACGTTTGACGGCACGGGATCACCGAACCAACATATCTATCATTTCAAGTCACAGACTGGGAATGTAATATCAAACGATGCCATACTGGCTCGATTGTTCATTGGCACCCTTAAGGGAGTTGCCTTTGAATGGTTCAGGAAACTACCTGCCGGATGTATCCAAAGGTGGGCAGATTTAGAGAGACTCTTCGAGATTCTTTGAAGAGGATACGGAAGTCTCCATCCATACCCTTCTCGCCACTAAGCAGAAGAAGAGGGAATCCGTCAAAGCCTTCGTTAAAAGGTTCC